ATAATAATAATAATAATAATAATAATAATAATAATAATAATAATAATAATAATAATAATAATAATAATAATAATACAAGGCTACACTATAGCATAGCACAATTAAATAACCATAATAATAACCATAATAATAATAATAGTAATTAATAATAATAGTAACAAATCACCAGATAGTTCCTCTTCTTTTAAGTGAGTCAATTAATTACAAAAATTTTAATTACAAAAATTTTTTCTCTGTGATGATTGATCGTTTTCCGAATTAAATATTTACGTTTTGTGTGTGTCTGAACGCTCGTATTCGTTTGTACTTTAGTGATACTCTTGTAATTTAGCACGAGAGAGTGAGAATGAAAGAGAAAAATTATTAATTAAGGTCTAAGTTGAATATTTGTTTCTTCCGACCATCGAATAAAATATTTTTTTTTATTTACGCGCCAGATTTTAGTTCGGATGTCGGAAGACGCGCGTCTTTTATATTTCACTAAATGATGTATATCGACATTTTAAACAAAGATGTACAAAAAGAGTTGACAATAACTAAAAGTTACAAATGTCACAAGATTTAAAGTTACTCCTAATACTTGTTCGTTCTCTCCCCTTTATAATGCTATTATTATTATTACCATTGCGGCCATTATTGTAATAGGTTTTGGGGTTGTAGAAAGATTTTCCTAATAATAACACTCATACATATACATATACATACACATACACAAACACACGGAAACGGAATAAGGATACAACTTGTTGCTATTTTGCGTAAAACCAAAATAAATTAAAATATAATACAAGACTCAACAACAAAAACAAAAGCATTTGTTATTTGATTTCAAACATGATTTATTCGTATGATTAAGATTGTAGTGGTGAAGAGCGCAATTTGTGCGATTGTACGATTTCACAATTGGGAAGATCAATTCCGCCCACATGTTAAAGAATTCACACACACACATATTTCTCTGCTGCTTTTATTGTTTGGCTAAAAAAAAAAAACGTCAACGATTTTTCTCTATTGAGGTGTGGGTCGCGCTGGGAAATGTATACTTTATAATTACGTACATGTACTTACTCACATACACATAAAAATGGACAAAAAACTTTAAGCTTAATGCAAAACATCAACATTCGCGCGCTGTCGACAATATCACTGATAACAATTCTGGGTATTGATCCCCATAAAAAGGGAAACATTTGATGTTTTGCGAAACATTAGACAAAAATACCAATATCATTTTCGGGCTCCGTTCGGAAAGCAAACAAATCCTTTTTATTCATTGTGAATCTCAAAAAAAGAATAGAGTGTGAATCTTATGGTACACCACCACCACCATCACTATTGTACCACTACCGCATTCACACACCAACAAATCAATTTATAATTTCATTGTTAATCATCGTAATGGTAAGAATGCAGGAAAAAAGTGGAAAATCAAGAGGAAAAAAATGAGATAGAAAAAAGAACCAAGGGGCGCATAAAGCATAATATAACGGCGTTTTAATAACGATGACAATCTAAGATTGGATTGTTGTATACGTACTATTGATATGATGATTTATGACGATGATTTATAATCATTTATTTGGATTAACGTGTGTGTCTATTGTTTTTCGTATTACCACCAACTTTGTGTGCGTGAAGAACCGGAATTGGGAACCCATTGTAGCCAGTTGTAGAAAAAAAAGGGGAGATGTGAGTACGTATGCCATGTATGTTCTGTCAATTGTATGTTAGAAAAAGTCAACTCATTTATTAATGGGAATTTTTGTTTCATTTGCAGTTGAGAGAAAATAATGATAACATTTCAAAAAATCTAGTATTTTTTTGATTCATTGATTAAGAAGTAAGTTCCTTTTTTTTTTTTTGAAAGAGAACATCGTTGAGATTTCAATCTCATTCTCTGTCTTTCTGCACTGCAAACGTTGTTCCACAGGACAGATCAGAAAGACGAAACAGGATTTTTATTGGTAGAGCATAACGATGAAATTTCGAACTTAATAATAACTTTTTTCATTATGAATAACTTCTGAAGAATTTGTCATTGTTATCAGCTCGGGCAATGAATTAACCTCACAAGAAACGACAATAAATAAATCCTGAAACCAAAATATTTGCATACACACACACATACATACATACATACATACATACATACACTCATTGTGCACATATATTTGATGTGTTGTCGTCACGAACAGTACAATCGATTATACGTGGATACATGTTTACAAACTTTACGAAAACGATACAATAGAAGGATTGATTGATGAAAATCAGTAATTAATATAGTAGCAAAGAGAGTGACATAGTCGACGGGGGACTTTCTACTTTTTTGTCACAGTAATCCAATGATCTTTTATTTATTACACTTTTTTGGTAATGTCGGAAATCGGAAATAGTAATGACGACGGCGTAAATGCGAAATCGCCGACATATGATGCAATTTAAGAGAACTTTGTGTTTTGTTATTGTTAGGACAGAGAAAAAGGCCGAGAAAATGTGTGTATGTATGTATGTGTGTGTGTGTGAGTGAATAGTCGTCTATCGTCTGTGTGAGAAGCGAGTAAGTGTTAACCTGGATTAAACGAAAAAGAATACGGTGAACAAAACGAATTGTCTTTTAATGTTTGCATATTATATGCACGGTAGTGTGTTTTGCATCCTCTGTTTTTATTTTTCTTTAGAGAAAATCAAATATGTGTGTAGTACGTGGCTTCTCTTCTGCTCTTTTATATTAACCGCACATCACTAATTCATTCAATTTTAACTGGTAATACAATTTGATAATATTTACAATTCTATCGATCGATAATAAATACACTTCTTATTAATTCAGAATATCGATAGTATATTTTTGATTCGTAGATAGATGGATAAGAGATAGAATAAAGTTGAGCGAAATTCATTCTAATAGATGTTTTTCTTTTTGAATAACAGATGACATGAATAAACGATCATATCAAGTCGGATGGGAGTGTCCATCTGGATGTTCTCTCAACACACTTAATTTACTCGTGTGTATGTGAAACTCTAACCTTCTTATTATTGTCTGTCTTTTTCCCTGTGTATGTGTATTTTATGAAAAATCATTAGAATTAAAGGGCATGTACAAATAAATAACTTTAAATATATTATCTTTTTTATTCTTTGTGTGGCCAATGTGATGGGTCTTTTTTACCTGGGTGATTACTATATTTGGACTGTTAAACGAAGCGGCCACTTGCTCGGAGACCACAACAGCCATCACCGTTTCATTTCTTGAAAGCAACAGGTTTTGGGCGGCGTTTTGTGATCATGTTTCAAATGTTCATCATCATCATAATATTCTTGATTGAATATATATACATATATATACACACACATATCTGTATCTGTATCTATATATCTATATATTATTTATATACATTTTATATACATATATATATTTTATATATATATATATATATATATATATATATAATATATATATGTATATGTATCAGATACTATACATAATAAAAAAAACAATTTTAGCAAATCTGGTAATGAATTAATTAATATATAATATAATATAATATATATTTTATGTATGAGGCAGAGTCAATCACTTCCAATACCCGCTTTTGGATATCATATAAAATCCGACCTCCTTTTCTGTCCTGCTTTTGTTTCCCCATCGTCCCTTTTTTGTTCAAGCCTAACTTCTTATTCAAAAATTACAAAATTACTTATTTTACCACCACCGCTGTTACTTACCATTCTCAAATTTTTTGGGTAGTGGTCGGTTACTGTTACTTACTTATATGTCAGTAGTAATATTAAAAAATTTTTAACCTTTTTCTACCATCAATTATCAGAAATTTAATCATTATCATTAGTTTTGAAATCATCCATTCTATCACTATTCCAGTTACGAGTTTCTCAATTAGAAAATATATTGCAGAGCAAGAAAGCAAGAATCCTGCACGCGTACTTTTCCCTCCTTCGCGAAAAAAGAAAAAGCACGAAAAAAAGGACAATCGATACCAAGCGATAAAAACACAAAAGGTACTAAAATAAATTTAAATTTTTTCTTGGTGGACGTTTTTGGCAACTACTCCACTTTGTTTGCTACTCTGTTTGGCAAATGTCAAAAAACTGCTAATTCCCCGAGTCGTGTAAGAGCTGTCACCAACTCCCAAACTCAGTTAAAGAAAAATTCACGCGCATACATATCTGTATAAAGTAACGTCCGACTAATAACTTGTTTACTTGCATTCTCATCCTATTCCATTTACAACCCACCTTCTCGTCATTTCTTGGAATTCCTTTTCTTTCGTCATTTACATAAATTCCCATTCGTTCTGCTGTCACCATTACGCATCCCTCTCGCAGTTATCCTTGTCACACGACACGTAAATCGAACGCACTGCAAAATGAGCAATATTTCTACCACTCCGCAACGAAAACAAAGCAACGCTAGTGGTGTTGGGCCGGGAGACTTGGCAGAGCAAGTCTCATCAAGAGCTAAACGTGAGCTCGAAGATGACGAATCAGAAGGTGACGAAGACGAGAAACCCGAAAAACGCGCTGGGCGTCGCAAGATTAAAATTGAATATATCGACGATAAGAGTAGACGTCATATTACTTTTAGTAAACGAAAGGCTGGTATAATGAAAAAAGTGAGTCGAGAAACCCGGTTTTTTCTTTATCAATAATCATTCATAACATAATCATCATCAATAATTATCATTATCATTATCATCAAAGGCATACGAATTAAGTACATTAACCGGCACACAAGTACTTCTTTTGGTTGTATCAGAAACCGGTCTTGTCTATACTTTTACCACACCAAAACTTCAGCCACTTGTCACGAAACCAGAAGGTAAAAATTTGATTCAAACATGTTTAAATGCTCCCGATAATCCTCCAACCACAGAAACGGCCGCAGCACCGGTAAGATTCCTGTCAATTGATTGATTGATTAATTGTTTGTTTAATTAATTAATTAATTAATTAATTAATTAATAATCATTAAAAAATAGACGCGACAAGCTCAAACTCCTCCGGTATACCCAAGTGATAATTCACCACCAGTGGAGAACAACGATAGTAATATATATAATGACAATGATCGGAAGGTAGTTAATTCAATCCACTAATCCCCAATTATTCACTAATTGCATTGAAATGAATTGTCACAGCTAAAGTGACAAGGTAAGCTCGTTTATCTCATAATCATTTGTGTATTTTATCAAATAATAAACTATGCAGCATCCATCACCGAGCGGCCAAAATCTTGCCACCCATAACAACTACCAACAACTCGGCTTAAGTGGTTACTCTGGTCAATACAGCATTCCTGCTAATAACCTACCGATGAACCCTGGTGGACTCCCGGCGAGTTACATGTCAACGAATTATCAACCACAACACAGCCCTCCCCAATACATTGGTCAACAGTATTCACCAAATTCCACATATATGTCTTCAAATATGTCTTCAAATTATTGGACCGGCGGATCGAACGGCAATGGAAATGCTAATGGAAAAGTGCAACAACAATTCCCGAATCAAACAAACGAAAAGAAACAATAATGAATTTATTTTAACGACAAAGAAATCAACGAGATTTTGTTTACTGATACAATCTATATTTTTTTTTATTTTTTTTCTATTTCGTTGTTGGTTGTTCTATTGTAGGTTGAAAGAATGAATGAATCATTTTAAAGGCTGATGTTCTATTGGTGAATCGGCAAATTTGTTATTATTTCATATATAAAAATTATATTCTTTTCTCTTATTTCTTGCTTCTCCTACATCCAATCCTAATTTATATGTACACCTTGAAAATGAGTCAGTAAGTTTAGTTAGCGTATTGGATGTATGATTTCGACTTTGTATCATTTCCACCTTTACTCCTGCATTCTTTTTTATATAGCTTTCTTGTTTCCTTATAAATTCTCGATGATTTTTTAATGATCATTCGCGAATTTGCTTGTAATAATAATTTTTCAATACCCCTTCCCCTTTTTATCTATTTGTCATCACCAATTATTATATTCTTTTCCAGCGATTTCTCAGCATTATCACTTAAAAAGCAAAATTTATTGACTGCTGGTCGTGGATGTATTTGTGTTGTGTGATTATGAGCGAGTTCGCTTGAAGATTAGTCAGAAAATCGGATTTTATTGTTGTAGTTAGTTTTTTATTAAAGACAAATTTGTAAAAAAAGGAAAAAATCTCGTCCATCATCGATTTGCTTGTTTGTTATCCTGCAGTGTTAGTGTCATAATTTCCTCATTTATGGTAATAAACATTATTATTTGAACATAAGTAATATATGCAATATGGTTTTTTTCCTGTTCTGTAGATAATGATTCTCTTATTTTCCTACCCCGTGTCACTATGATTATGATCGATTTTGTATTGTTTGTTACCTTTTTCTTCGATTTGCTTGTAGTCTTTTTTGTCTGGCGTTTTTTTTATTTTTTTTTACCTTTCAGGATTGCATGAATTTTTAATGAAAAGATCACGCGCCTACGGAATATTGCGCAATGTAACCGAATCAATTGATTAATAAAATTAATATTTGTGTCCTAAACATGCAGAGTCAATTCCACCGCACAAATGAACCTTTTTTTTTACGAAAGCTAATTAATCATTGATGGATTTTTGTTTGGTCTGATTGCTTTGACATATGGACTCTATCAAATATGATAAGAATGTTGGTTCGGAATGCCCCCTAGGTCTTAGCAGAATTCTTTGTAACGGCATACTTCGAATATTGGATGACCAGGTGTCGGTTAATTAATATCATTCTGCTCTCTTAATTTATCTGATAACTTATAACTTAATAACGTAAGATACACGTGTTGTTAATAAAACACAAACTTGGAAAAGGTGTATCGTAACTTCTTTTTAATTTAACGAAAAAGAATACTAAATGGAGTATTTATTTTTTATATTCCGATAACATTACACAAGATCATTAACTTGATTCATCCTCCTTAGTCTCAGATAGTTGATTTGATTCATCTAGTGCTAAGAAAATTCGGTCTACTATTGTCAGGAATCGAAACACTTTCTAAATGGTGTTGTGCCTTCAATATTCGAATTCGTTACAAGTTATAGTTGAAATATGAAGTTTTCATTTTCAACCTGATTCCCATTTGATTGTTGATATTAATGGAAACTAATTTCTTTCAATTTTAAAAAAGTTCGAAGTGATAGGGTGTTCTCGTAGAAGATGAAATCAGAACGCCCATAAAATCATTCACGGCGGAAGCACCATAGCAAACATTGTCTCATGACAAAATAAATAAGTTGCTTCTTTTTCCTTCATTATAAAATATTAAAGCAACCCTGTAAAAAGACCTCAAAGCTTTGATCCGCCGGCATTTTTAGTCCGGAATTCAAAATTTACAATTTTTGTTCGACTAAACAATTATATATAAAGATGTATTCACCGCTACTTATCCAATAATAAATTGATATTGGTAAGGATACTTCTCAGTATAGCTCTGTTCCGAAAATCGTGAGATAGTTTCCGTTAATAACTTTTATTTTTACTAAGACACTTGTATTTTGTGTCTCAAGTAGAGTTGTTCGGAATGTAACTGTGTGTATATATATATATATATATCTATCTATCTATCTATCTATCTATCTACAAATTTTCATTCAATTTGAATTAGTATTGAACGAGAAATAACGAATTTTAGTCTGATCCAAAATATTTCGGGTCGGGTTTGACACCGACCCGAAGTGTGCGGTTCACGGATTGGACCCGATTGGAGCACTACTTCTCGGATTAACCAATATCTCAAGATACACCCCCCTCTCCTGAGTAAACAATTTAAATGTGGCGCAAAGGATGTAAATTTCAAAGTCCTATAATCATGTTATATCAATGGTGCAATACAGCATGTGTAGAATTTCTTAGAAATTTGTACGATCTGAGCGATTCTTTCAAAAAGTCAAACAACCTATCTTCAAGCTATAATTAACGACTCGTTTAATAAAAGCAGGGACTAAAGGATCGAGTGAATCTTGCCCATAATCGAATAACTCCGAACCCAGAGTAAGTGACTGGTGACTGTAGCGTTCTTTGCAAAAGAATCAAAATTACATAATGAAGTATCTTGGACTCCATAATAGAAACACTTTAATGTATAGTGAAATGATGATTTACTTTCAAATCAGAAATAAAGTCTTCCAAGTTTCTTAGTTGCAGGAACAAATATAGAAGTGACTTTCTGAAACTTGAGATATATCCCCTATGAAAACCATATATATCGCGAGATTCATTATAACAAGATCTTTTTAAATTGACATTCACATGGAATTCGTTAAATCGAGTGACTACACACCCCTACAGTATATTACCGGGAATTTCAAAAATGAATTTGTCACTTTGGAACACGATATCTCGACATCCAGTGACCCCATTCGAATAAAAATATCACC